GGGGCTTGTTTTTTAAATTTTTGCTCAAATCAATGAGAGAGGTACTTTTTGAATCTGGATCTGGATGCAGTCTTAATGACTGTTGTGTGTTTCTAAACGACTTGATTTACTCATTAATAATAGGTCATTTTGTCGGAACAACGAAGACGACGACGGCGAGAACAAAAAAAATAAATTAATAACTGCAGCAGCAGCAACACAAACAGCAACAGCAGTTGTAATACAACAGCAACAGAAACAGCGTTAGCAACAGTTTTAATAACAACCACAGCAGCAGCAAATGTAACAAAAACAACAACAACAACAACAACAGCAGCAGGTGTAACAACAACAACAACAACAACAACAACAGCAGGAATAACAACAAGAACAGTAACACAACGGACCCCATCTGTCCATGATTGTGCACTGGCTGCAGAGATGCCCCGCTACGGACGTCCGGTGGTTGTATCTCTTTAGGAAGGATTCAGGGAGGTTGGACTGCATCGCCCGCTACCCAAGAGAGGCGGTGGCCCAGGCAAAGAGCACACTCTTCGGGACTCCAAACTAGTGGAAGGATAGCACCCCCCCCCCCTTTCTTACACACAGAACGACAACAACAACAACAACAACAACAACAACAAAAACAACAACAACAACAACAACAATATCATCACCAACGCCAATACCCAATCTTCACTGCCACCACTACCACCACCACCACCACCAACAACAACAACAAAATCATCACTACAACCACCACCAACACCACACAAACAACAACAACAACAACAACATCAACAACTTACGGGCCCGAGGGCTCCAACAGCGTGTAGTGCTGTACAGAGTTCTGTCCCGTGTCCCTGTCCATGGCAGTGGGCAGCGGCTTGGTCAAGCCTACGGCATTGTTCTCCGGGATATCCAACGTGATCTCCGACGGCTTGAAAGTCGGCATGTTGTCATTGATGTCCGTGATGTTGATGTTGACCACCACGAGACGGAAGAAATCCGTGACGTCAGAGGTGACGGTGACGTCGAAAGAAATGATGCACTCATCCATCCCCTCGCATACAGTCTCGCGGTCTATCATAGTGTGCGAGTATAAGGCCCCAGACCGACGGTTTATGGAAAAGAGGTGAGTTTCCGCGTTGTTCGGATCGAGGAATTCGAATTTTAGGTATTTGAACTCGGCTTGCGTCACCTCACGGCCAATTGACGTCACGCTAGCGATGTTACCAACGTACGTTCCGGTACGGCGTTCTTCCATCAGCGGGCCTAGCGTGACCTTCATAGACTGTGACGTCACAGAAGGAGGAAAAGACGTAAGTATGATCGTCATCGACATGACGACGAGCGATGAAACTCCAGATGACGATGACGACGATGATGATGATGACGATGAAGGCATCATCTCAACCCATCTTCTTCTCCACCAAGCCATTGTTGTATTATCCGTTTACTGTTCCTCCGGCTTATTTCCGCCTTTTGTTTATCCAAATGTCGTGTCGCTCGGCATTACTTCATTCCAGTTTCCTGTCGCGCTGACCCAGGGCATAACGTCTCTGGAAATGCCACGGGGAGTGATGCAAGATCAAAGAACTGGCTACTCCCGCCGAGGTGCAGGGAACCTTCAGCTGGTGTCAGGCATCAATAAAGGACAGGCTTCAGATGGCAGCTCTCTCTCTCTCTCTTTCTCTCTCTCTCTCTCTCTCTCTCTCTCTCTCTCTCT